CCAATGGGCCTGAATTAAAAAAATTCTGCAAAGAAGAGTGGGCCAAAATTCCTCCACAGTGATTTGAAAGACTCATTGCCAGTTATCACAAACGCTTGATTGCAGTTGTTGCTGCAAAGGGTGGCACAACCAGTTATTAGATTTAGGGGGTAATTACTTTTTCACGTAGTGCCAGGCAGGTTTGGACAGCTTGTTCCCTTAATAAATGAAATCATTATTTCAAAACTGCATTTTGTATTTACTCAGGTTATCTTTGCGTAATATTGAAATTCGTTTGATGATCTGAATCTTTTAAGTTTGACGAATATGCAAAAAATAAAAAAAAAACAGGAAGGGGGCAGTGAGCGCAAGCTACATTAAAGTGATTATTACGTTTTGAATATGGATATTTTTCTAACAAAAACGCTCCGACTGGATTCGTCTGAAAGAAGAAAGTCATATAAACCTAGGATGACTTGAGGGTGCATAATTTATGGGCTAATTTTCATTTTTGGGTAAACTAACCCTTTAATGGTATGTTTTTTGTTTGTTGTTGTCTCATACGTTTAAGATATGCTGTTATTTGTAAATGCTACTGCTTATGATAGCTTTTAATATACGGTTTTATTCTGATTAAAGCTTTAATACAGCACGGCAACCGCGTGCGCGTTTATGTTTAACACTTCTCAAAGTTATGTGAAAAAATATCTGTCTGTCTATACACAAATTGTATAATTGGAACACTTCATTGTTGGAGCTGAGCTGATGATATGAATGAGAGAGAGAGAGAGAGAGAGAGAGAGAGAGAGAAAGATGCAGAGCAGTGGACACGAGGAACAGGATTAAGAACCGCTGCTTTAGAACATTGATTTTGAATCTTGTGAATCCATTAAAATCGTTAGAAGACAGAATCACGATTCATATGAATAGATGTTTTTTGCATCCCTAGTTTTTGATGGCATGGCAACAACTCTTCCTCTTCTCTATAAAAGCAGTGCAACATGGCCTCGCCCCCTTTGTTGCATGTTCCCGGGGGTAGGGTTATGTCAATTTCTGGGTTTGTGATGTCACAAACCCGGGAAGTTACTCGTTGTAGTCCCTACGAGCCATTTTTATAGGCATTAAACTGCCAGAATTTTAAAAGACGATATCTCCGTTTGCACTGAACTTTCAGCATCTTAAAGGGTTAGTTCACCCAAAAATTAATTACTCGCCCTCATGTCGTTCCAAACCCGTAAGACCTCCGTTCATCTTCGGAACACAATTTAAGATATTTTTGATGCATCCCGAGAGCTCTCTGACCCTCCCATAGACAGCAAGGATCCTTACACGATCAAGGTCCAGAAACATAGCAAGGAGATCGGTAAAATAATCCATGTGACATCAGGGGTTCAACCGTAATTTTATAAAGTCGTTTTTATAAAGTTTTATTTGAATAAAGTCGTTATTTTTTTTTATTTTGCGCACAAAAAGTATTATTGCTGCTTCGTAAAATTACAGTTGAACCCCTGATGCCACACAGATTATTTGCTGATGCCACACAGATTATTTTGATGTCCTTGCTATGTTTCTGGACCTTGATCGTGTAAGGATCATTGCTGTCTATGGAGGGTCAGAGAGCTCTCAGATTCCATCAAAAATATCTTAATTTGTGTTCCGAAGATGAACGAAGGTCTTACGGGTTTAGAACGACATGAGGGTTAGTAATTAATGACAGAATTTTCATTTTGGGTGAACTATCCCTTTAAATTTGCAGATATTGTTTATGCTCAAACAGCAACATTACACACTAACTAAAGTTAAAAAAGTGAAATCACAATCAACCACCCCTTTAATTAAAATATTTCTTTTCTGATGTTTTGGCTACACATTTTTGATCTCATTACTTTGGGTGGAGTCTGCTCCAATTGTAAAATTATGACATTCTCTAGGATAACATGTATAATGCATTATATGCTGTACTATCAAAACATTTTGACAGACACATTATTTTAAACTCTAGTTGCCTTATCTATTCTATTTTGGTGCTGCTGACTGCATTTCGTCTGCTTTTCTTTCCCTTTTGATTTTGCAAACTGAGTTACAATCAAAATAATTTTCTGCGGTAATGGTAATGATAGAGCTTAAACATTTAACTCAGCATATTCCTTTACCACAGTCATGCAGAGCGGGGCAAGAAAGACCTGTGAAAGGGAGGAGCAAACATTTCTTGAGGTCAAATGTTGTACATTCAAACGAACACTACAGTAATTTGGTTCATCTGTTACTTGGCAGAAGCAGCCAGATAGAAACCAAAATGGACAGGTTGCGTGACATACCCCAATCCAAAAAAACAAAACAAAAACCCACAAACAAAACGAACTTTCAATCCAGACTACATTAAATATGGGTTGGCTTGCAATAAGGATAAACACGGTCTGTACCGATTACAATATGTACTGTAAATGATTGTTTGCTGAGAGCATGAACTCATCGAAATTCAAGAGATACAGTGGGTACGGAAAGTATTCAGACCCCCTTCAATTTTTCACTCTTTGTTGTATTGCAGCCATTTGCTAAAATCATTTAAGTTAATTTTTTTTCCTCATTAATGTGAAGGGGGTCTGAATACTTTCCGTACCCACTGTATTTTTTTTTTGTCAATATGATTTTCATTAAAAAAAATGTATTTTACATTTTTAGTTATTTTAGTACATCAAGATAAACTAAAAGAAAATGAAAATGCTGCCTTGACAACTAGCTTATTTGTTTTTGTACTTTATTTCAGTTAAAGTTTTGTTTCAAGTAACATAAAATTGTTTTATGGTTTTATTTTTATGTGAACTATAATAACCCTGATGTGTATCCTTTACTTGTTATTAAGAATCTGAATGGTATTACTTTATTTGCCGTTGACAGTACTACTGATCTTTTTCCCTAGAATCACACAGCCGGCTCCGATTGATTTAAGTAATATAAAATCAATGATTTACTGGTCATATGACCATGCACACAATCTATTATATCCCTGTCATATTCTGATTGGGTGTGTTTCTTTGGCAACTGGCCATTAACACCCCTGCTAATGAGAGACTTTACTGTAAATAATTAACTTTAACCCTCCAATTTATGATAAATTGATCACTAGGCAGCAATACCCTGGAACTGAGAGATTGGGAGAACTGTGTCAAAAATTAAATAAAACTGCTACAGCACTACCAGTAGATCTAGATGAAACATGCAGGGCATAATTAAGTTGCTCTGCAATAAGTTTATTTACATGAACAGCACTGTCCCATAAAGATCTGTATTCTGGCTAAAGGAATAGTTCATCCAAAAAATGAAAATTTGCTAAAAAATGTACTCAACCTCAGGCCATGCAAGATGTAGATGAGTTGGGTTCTTCATAAGAATAGATTTGGAGAAATGTAGCATCACATCAGTTGCTCACCAGTGGATCCTCTGCAGTGAATGGGTGCTGTCAGAATGAGAGTCCAAACAGCTGATAAAAACATCACAATAATCCACAAGTAATCCACACCACTCCAGTCTATCAGTTAATGTCTTGTGAAGCAAAAACTTGCATGTTTATAAGAAACAAATCCATCATTAAGGTGTTTTACCTTCTAACTGTTGCTTTTGGACAAAATGCATAATTGATAAACACTTCCTCCAGTGAGAAAAGTCCATCAAACTCCACACACATATTTGTTTTGAACTGTTTTGGCTTGTAAACAGTGCTTGATCTGTGCATATTTCTCTCCTGATTCATATGAAATTACTTTGAAAGAAAAAAACATTATTACGGATTGAGGACTCGTATTTGTAATGGATAATGGATTTGTTTCTTACAAACACACAGCTTTTCACTTCACAAGACATTAACCGATGGACTGGAGTGGTGTGGATTATTGTGGTGTTTTTATCAGCTGTTTGGACTCTCATTCTGACGGCACCCATTCACTGCAGAGGATCCATTGGTGAGCAAGTGATGTGATGCTTAATTTCTCCAATTCTGATGATGAAGAAACAAACTCATCTACATCTTGGATGGCCTGAGGGTAAATTTTAAGCTAATTTTTAAATTTTTCTGGGTGAACCAATAAAGTATTAAACTATTAATTACGATTTTTGTTTCCGGTAATTCTGCAATCTGCATTGTGATTTAACTCATAAAATTATTTTTCATGTCACTGACAAATGCACACAAAAGTGCAAAAAGGTAGCTTAAAAGTAGTGTTTGCATGACAATCAACTGTATGTAACGAGAATATGACCAAATTCTGATTGATATTAATATTACACAGTATATACAGACACACTGTCTATGTCAAAGAAAGTTAAAGTTAAGAAGTAATGACACATTTTTCATAAATGCACAAAACCATTTCACAACAATTTCACTGTGATGCTTTGAAACACAAAACCTTCTTATCCTTCCATCTTTCAATACAAATGTATTCATTAAATCGGACACCATTCCTGCAGCTCTTATCGGGAAAGAAACAAAAGCTGGTCTGATCAAAGTTAAACTACAAAACATTATAATCTCATAATAAATGGCCCTGTAGCCGATTTGATCTAGTATCTTGCAATAATAAACATTTCATATCTTTTCCATCATATCTTTTTAGAAGTTGCCATTCAATAGAGCATAATAAAACAAAGTAACCCCCTCCTTTCTTAGGAAATGTTTACAGAACAAATGCTGAACACAGAGCACATTCTTAGGTATTACGCTGCAATGTTGTTGCATAAACAAAATGCACTTGGTTTAAGAATATACATACACACCGGGAACAAAACGAGCAAAACTGTTCCACCAGCCTTCTTCTTCACAACAGCAACCAGCTTGTTTCATATCACAATACCAAAGACTGCTGTGTTAGTGTGCTAATTCACAGATGCTGAAACTTAAATATCTATTGAAAAGGAAATGCAATGCTAAAGACTGAATACCACAATCATGCTCGGTCATATTATAAACTAAAATGAAAACCAAAAATATACATTATATTTGCAGGAATAAAATACTGTAATGCAAAAAAATATCATTTTCTTTACTGTAATGTATCTGGATGTTTTAATTTTGAATTTGTCTTTAATTCTTCAAACAGTCTTCTGATTTTCTTTTAGATTATCATTACTGTAATATAGGGTAAAGGTACCTATTAAGCTCACCAAAATCTACATTGAACACACATTGTTTTTATTTGTCACGCGTCTCCGAGCAACAATGTGCACATTTCTGTGTGAGTGATCGGAAGACATTTAAAGTCTGGTAGTGTATGATGCCCAGTTTTCCTTTGCGACTTAAAGTGACAAAAATCGGTTTATATTTGAAGTCTGTTTATGAAGTATTTATACAGACGTTCAAAGTAGAAGAGCTTAAAGAGAGCACACTGAGCTTAATTGGAGCAGCAACAATTTTTAATACATTTCATGTAATATTTATTAAAATGACAAGATTTTGCAAAATAAATCATCTAGGTCATGTATTAAGTTTATACATATTTTATTATGAACAACTATTATTAACAATATCTAGGAAATTATGCTTTTTCTTGTATAGCTGTATGCGAACTGTAAAGTGTATTTAGGAGCACAAGTATGTTTTATGAATTTTAAGCTATCGTAAATTGTATAATTAAACATCTTAATTATCATTTTAAGAAGTCTTAAATTTGGGGATGGAAAAATGGGAATCGCTAAACAACATGTTTTGTTATTATTAAACTTGCTTGTAAATGTCTCCTTGTATCCTTTTTTAAAGAAAAACACATTATTTAATCAAATTTCCATTGTGTCCCTAAAGATATTTAATGTGCTCCTAAAGTTTTCAAAGCACACGTGTCCCTTGGGAAAAAAATAAGCATCAAGCTCTGCTTATATCAAATTCCATCAAAAACCGCCAACTATCAATTATGGAAAGAAGGATTTTATTCCAATTCAGTAATATACTACTAAAATTGAGTCAATTTCATTTGCTGAATATCAAAATACTTATATGAGTTACGTGGAGAAGCAGAATTGTCAGTTGTGCACAGCCAAACACGTGTCTGCCGTGACAACGAAACTCTAGGCAACAATCATAAATCAGTGTAGTCAAGCAGTACAGTATATATAAATCATGCTGCGGCGCACATAGTGTGTGTGAGACTTTACCATTCTGCTGTGGCTGCTTGTCATGTTGGAGCTGCTAAATTTGAAGAGTGTGTCGTTCAGTTTTGTTGGTGAGAACTGGAATTTAGGCTCACTGTATTCTGTCGCCGATGCCGGAGCTACAAGTACAAACAAATTTTCAAATGACATAATTAGACTAATTTACTAGTGACTAGACTTGATAATTAAACATGATACGTTTAGTGAATGTCTAGTTCAAATAGTTAAACATGCACTGTAAAAAAAAATCTGTGACATTTACGGTAAAATACCGGCAGCTGTGGTATTTTTTGTGGGACAGAACTTCACCGTACAAAATGCGGTAGCAACATTTTAGGTTTTACAGATTTAACTTAAATTCACAATAAAATACCGTATTTCATTAACTGATATAATGTTAATAAACCAACATACTGAAGTGTTAATATCTGTTTTGAACCATTGAAATGCACTGATAACCACCAAAAACAGGTGGTGATGAGAAAGTCACATGATGAACCAAAGCCCATCACAAGCAGCTTTTCTACGATCTGAGGAGGCCAATACTTATATATAGAAGGTGCGCAGTGTCATTCACACAAACACTAAACCCCATCATGGTGACACATGATACTGAAATAATGCAATAAACATTAATTTAACAACATTAGATGTAAGATAAAACCCTAATGTACACATCTAATAAGAAAAAACGAAGAAGAAACATGTTATTTCAACAACAAAAACACATCAAATATGAAGTGTCATGCAGGGAATTCTGGGAGTGTCAATTTTCGGTTTTTCACTGTAAATTATACAATGACTTTTTCTTTTTCACTTCCAAAAACTGTATTTTACTGTAAAATTACATTAAATGTAATTACATTTATTCACCATATATAGTATGGAAACTTACTGTTAACCAGTTAACAAGTTTTTACTATAGCATTTTTACAGTCTTTTACTGTTAAAATCACAATCATTTTTTACAGTGTGAATAACAACATTTATTTAAACAAAAATGTATTTTTGTTTTTTTTCAAAAGTTTCTCTTTGTTTGATTGTAGGGCTGCAAAATGTGCCCCAAAATTTTGTAATTATAAATAAATATAACTATAATAATAATACAAAATATTATTATTATTACAAAAGAAAAACAATTACTATAATAAACAAATCAAGAAATTTAAGAAAAAAATTAGATAATCATATTAATTTTATGGTGCAACTGTAAAATTACAATACCAATGCATATGGCTGTCCTAATTTACTAATTTGAAAACTTTAAAACACCAAACTTTTATTTTGACAAACTCGTTTTGAAACACTAAACTTTATTAGGCATGTAATAATCGCATTAAGCCATATCACGATTTTGTTTTAATTTCGATCAATCATACAGCACTATCCAAATGTCTCACTTATATGCAATATAAGTTTAATTTGCAAAATTTATCTAAATAGATCAATAATTATTATATATGTACTAACCCTATATAATAACTTCCATTAATAGCATTAACAAACATCATTAACGCTACATTAACATCATGTGTCAGCAGAGCGACGTGATATACTCCTAATGAAACTACTTTAAACTACAAAAATAAGTTTCTAATTCTTGCATAATTACACATGCAGTATTCTACCTATATACATGCTAATAAAGAAACATATATATCATAGGACTATTTACATTAATATGTGAAAACGTACACGCAGCACTTGAAATGCACACTTTCTCTTAAATATGAATAAAATTTTATCCAAGCATTTGGTGCAAAAAATGTTAATTTTTATGTTTTTTTTTTGTCAGCAACCCGCATTCAGATATTCTGAAAATATCATTGAACTTCATATACTGTATATTTGCACATGAAATATTGGCATGTTATGAATTAAGTCTGTTATTAAAGCGTGCAATAAAATACAACATGCAACTGTGTTAAACAAGACACATTATTCTCTCTTATTATTCACTTAGCAAAAACCCTTGAGATATTAAATGTAACTGAACTGAATGAAAATCAGCAAATTTCTGCACTAGACAGTGCATCACTTCTAAACACTGGGTGGATTATGTCTGTGTCTCAAAGCTTATAGTGAGCTGCCTACCTAGACAGCATTTTGGGCAGCATATTAGCTCACAAAAATGTGAAAGTACAGTATATTCCTGGCTAATGACTGTTGTACTCTCAGTCATTTTTACAGTAGCGGTTCTAGGATTTTTTACAATTAAATGATGTCTGTATACTGTGACCTCACAGACAGACATACAGTAATCACAAGTGTCTGTGTTACAGTTATCGCTTGTATATTTACAGATGAACTGTAATGCTGTGATGGCCACAGAATACGTAACATTTTTACTTTGAAGTACATTTTCAATTGTTTTAATAATCGTTAAAAAGTATACTTATTTTGTCGTTTTGATTAACATACTAAAGCACAAGTACTTGATTACTGTGTTATTTCACATTACATTTAAAGGTAATACATTTTAAATGAACTAAAATTCAACTTCATTACAAATGTGTAATTACAAATATATTTAAATACATGACGTAATATTCAAAGGAGTGGCATTAAAGTATATTCTAGTTGATCATATATGCTTTTCAGTACATTCAGCAATACACTTTAACTATATTTCAAATACAATAGAATTAATTATGACATTACATATAATGAGCTACTAAAGTGGGTCAAAAAGCTTTCTAAAGTTTGGCTAATTGCACTTAATATAAATGTAAACTGTAATGCATTTTCATTGAATTGTTCAATAAATAACATGCAATTAAGTGTTTGAAAACATTACATTCAGTTATTTTTCTTTTAAAGTAGCTACATACTTTCCATAATAAGTACTCTTTGTATAAGTATGCTAAAGCATAATTCTTTTTCACAAGGGAAAGTTTGTTCTGTTGCAGTTTTCGCTGTCATGTGTACTTACAATACTATTATTTTGTGATGCAAGTTTTTTTTTTATCAATAATTATGTTCAATATTGCTGACCTTTGAGTACTTGTCGAGTGTTTACAACTCATACTAAAGGTTTATCAGAGATAAAAACAGTGTTGCATGCCCAAAGGAATAAACAATGAAAAATGTTTTAATAAATAATTACTAGATAAGTCTCAATTGTTTACTGAAAACTAATATTATTCTACACTACATTGTACAATATTGCCACACAGTAGACTGCAAGTTGTTTATACTTGCTTCCAGCCAAATGGAACATTAATAAATCATGAGGATTTCAAAACACAACTAAACTATATCACACAATGCGTGCTATGATTATGTTTACAGTAATTTGTTATGAAACAGTGACCTGGAATTCATTGACTTCACATAGAAACATACTTAAATGTAAGATTAAATGTTTCACTTCAACATACTGCACTGTATTTGCAGCATGGGGTAACGTGTGTGTAGGCTATATCAGACCCAAAAATGCAGTGTAGGTAGGCTTCTAGTTCACATGGCTTTGAGACACGCCCGTCAAAAACTCTTGTTTGAGATATTGATTACAAATGAATGCAGTTTTGCTTCAAAGACCTGCTTGAACTTGCTAATGAAAAAAAAAACAAGTTTTCATGCAGATACTGCCAAACAAGCATGCAGTCCTTGTTAGTGAAGTTTATTAAAGTTGTAAGATTTATTTCACGCTGTCTCACTGGCATTATAACTGATGCCTGTGTGCATATAAACAGCGCACTTACTTGTTGGCGACGAAATGGAGTCATTCTTGACCATCTTCGACTTGCTTCTCTTTATGGTGTTAACCTGCTCCAGGACGCGCTGCTGCCCCGTCCGCTGTTTTTTGTCGGAGGGCAGTACCAGAGAGGTGTCCTCCGTAGAGACAGTGCCCAGAGCCGAGCGAATCGGTTCGGCAGTCATCGCTGCTCTCAGTGATTCTGCTCACACTTACGGCCAAACCCGACAACACCGACCTCCCGTCCGGCTGCGGATATAGCGAGAGTCTGTGTGCTCTTCAGTGGAGAACCACACCTAAGGTCACGCCCATCTGATGTGCACGCTGCGGACCAATCACAGGTCCACATTCACTCTTTAAACCTGTCAATTACCTGGCGTTTCCTAGCAACCCGGTTTAATAGCGCATTTGTAGTTCACAAGCATCTATCTATCTATCTATCTATCTATCTATCTATCTATCTATCTATCTCTGTCT